GGGTTCCCTGCGCCGGCGCGCGCTGCTCGTGCGCGGCCCGGCCGCGGCCAGCGCCGACCCCGCCGCCCGGGGCGCGCTAGGTGCAGCTCACCGCAAGCCTCACACGCGGCTGCGACCCAAAGGAGCAACGACTCCGCGCCACGCCCGTGCCGAGAGCCGCCCTCGCCCTCCGCGGCGCTGCCTGGGCTGCGGGGTGGAAGAGGCTCCCCCGGGCAGAGCTGGCTTTTCCGCGGAAAGGGCGACTCGATCCCGGAAGTCCGGGAGCCCTGGCAGAGGGTAAACAGTGGGCAAAGGGAAGCGGGAAAACGGAGACGCGATTAGGAAAAAACAAACAGGTGCAGCGACCACGAAGGGACTCGAACCCCCAATCTTCTGATCCGGAATCAGACGCCTTATCCATTAGGCCACGCGGCCCCACGCCAGCTCCCTGCTCAGCGCTCTCCATAAGGCCAGCTCAGGCGCCTACTGCGCATGCCTCAACTGCAGAGGGTCGGCCCGCCGAGCTAACCCGAGTGAGCTGCCGGGAGCGGCGGCCGTGCGGACCGGGCGGCCGGCCTCCCCTCGGCGTCCCCCGGACTTCAGGAGGGGCCCTTCCCGGGCGCAGCGATCGCGAACGCGTGCTTAGGGCGCGCTGGGCTCCCGCGGGGTGCCGGGGGAGGCTGTGGGGGAGGCGGGAGCGCCCGAGCGAGCTGCGGATTCCCAGGCAAGCCTTGCGCGGCTCCCCACTGCCCGGCCCCAGCGCGTCCAGCTCGCGCACCCGCCTGGTGACCTGAGCGGCGACACTCGGCTAGGCCCGGCCGGCCTCGGGCTGCCACACCCGTCTTTGCTGGTGGTTTCCTGGGGGGGAGCTGGTTGCTTTCTGAAACGGCTCCTCACGATGTGTCCCCCAGGCTGGCCTCGAACTCGGGGATCCTGCCCCGCCGTGACGGCCTGGCTCCTGTGACCCAAAGATCTAACCTGTGTTCCTTGCTTCTCACCCTGCTGGGCCTCTCTGCTCCGCCCTACATCGTCCCCCACCTCTCCCCCACCCCTGGGGGCGTCTGGTTCCTCTCTTCTGAGCTTTAGTGTATGCGAGGAATGACCGCTGCTGAGTTCCTCTGACCAGTGTGCTGTGTGTTTGATCACCTCATACTGTGAGGGCAAGGGCTTCCCCATCCCCCCACCCCCACCCGTAATAAAGGTGTTTACTGTGAGGGATGGCGGAGGGAAGGAGGGAGAGCCTTCTCCTTTCCCTGGATTAACTGGGAGGGAGCAGGCACCCTACCACCAATTCAGCCCTTCTTTCTGGGTTCCCTGTCCCCACTCCCCACACCTCAGTCAGCAGCTCGAGGAGATCTCCTCCAGCGTTGGCTCTGATGACCTCCACCAGCGTCTGGACAAAGTCCGAGCCCTATTCATCCCGATAGGCCACACAGCCTAGGTCAGGGGATGGGGCCAGAGGGTCAATCTTGAGCTGCTGTGCTCTGCATCCCAACCCTCGGGGCGGAGGATTGTGGGTGGAAGGAGAGAGGAGGAAAAGCAGAGAGCATTCTGGGTGTCTGGCTTCTGACCAGAGCAGGGTCAGGGGCTCCTTGCATCAGGAAGAAGTTGCTGGTATTTGTAGAGCGATGTGTGAGAAGAATCAAGGTAGAACAGACATTTTCTGCGGACTTGCTAGGTACCAAGCAGTGGACAGGGGCCCAAGGCCTGTCCTGGAAGAGCTTACGCAAGTGCTTGGCACAGGGAGCACTTGACAGGAGCTTGTTACTCTGACTGTAAAGACTAAACTATAGGAGGAAGGTGTCCTAACTGCAGCTGGGCTGGTGCGCCACTCAGGTCTTAGGGCAGGAAACTAGGCAGACAACAACCACAAGCCCCTTACCCTCTGCAGCTGCATAGACTGTAAGGATGTCTGCTTGGCCAGAACTCCCTGGAGTGGAGCTAGAGCTGCAAAAAGAGTCGGTTCCCGTTACCAGCATCCCGACTCCACCTGCCCGAGGGTCTTGTCATCTCTGGTTCAGAGGCAGCAGTGGGCAGTGGAAAGAACTCAAGGCAGGAAAACTGCAAGCCGTACAGCATTCAGGCTGGAGCCTCTGAATTAGTTAGTTCCCCTTGCTAACTCCAAATTGCCAGGCTCAGGTGGGAGCAGAGAAGCCTCCGAGTCCCTCACAGCTTAAGGAGACATTTCCTCCGTGGGTCTTGGTGAAGAGGGAGCAGAGGTGACAGCAGAACCCAAGCTCACAGTCCTGAAAGTATGCCGAGAATGATCCCCACTACTGGCATGCCAGGCTCTAGCGGGCAGGCGGACCCACCTGAAAAATCAGCATGGACCTGGAGGACATCTGCGTGGGTTAGGGAGCACCGGGGGTGCTCTCAGCCAGCGCCAGTACCATGGGAGAGCTCTTGGCCCCACACCAGGATCCCTGTTCTCTGGAGGAGGAGGCAGATCCTTTTACTCATGGGAGCCTCAGGACAGCAGTGGGGCAGGCTTGCAGGGCTGCCAGTATTCATACGGGCTCAAGTTTGTGGGGTTGACTCAAGGGGAGGCTGGAGAAGGGCGGGAAAAGGCCAGTGTGCAGGCTTCTTGGAGGAGGTGGGTGGGAAAGGTAGGAGGCCAAGGGCTGGCAGAGAAATGCCAGGGTGGGTGGCGGGGCTGGAGGCAGGGCCTCTTACCCCCCAGGCCTACAGCAGGAAGATCTTGGGGCAGTGCGCGGCTGCGGCTCAGCTCCCGGGCCAACACCTCTGGCTGCACTTCTTGACCAGCAGCGCCCAGCAGCTGCCCCTGTGGCCCCCCACGGGCCATCAGGGCCACCGGGGCACAGCTCACAGGATCCTTGTGAGTGTCTACCTTTTCCCGGAACTGAACCAGCTCCTCTCAGAAGGCCTGGAGTGGTAAGGTCAAGGTCTGAACCAGCCCCTGGCTTCCATCCATGGGGCTGGGGGAACTTCTCCAGCCTCTGCCTTGGAGAGCACCCTTCCCAAGGCAGGGAAATGACTGTCTCATTTCCCAGTGACAGCAGGAAGTCAGAGGCTAGACGTATAGATGTACTTCCTGCCTGGGATGTGAGAGAAACCCAGGAAGCTTCCAGGCTCCTGGGGGCAGGTACCCTTCCTTCTAAACACCTCCAGTTAGGGGCTTCCTCCAACCTGAGCTGAAGGGTCTGTCCTCAGGGTGACCTTGAAGCCTAAGGCCTGGCAAAGGTCCCTGAGTGCTGCCACGTCATGCTGTGCCCCTGGCCGGTCTTGAGTCATGGCCAGAAGGAGGGCAGCCCTGGTTCCAGACAGGTCATACTGTGTTCTTGGTCCGGGGCCAGACTGTACAGGAGGTTAGTATCTCCCTCCGCCTTCACCCAACCTGCAGACACAGGACTGGACTCCCTCCCTGCCCCTCACCTCTGGCCTCCAGGGCTCCACAGCTCTCAAACACAGGCTTCCCTGAAGGGAGGTCCTAAAGACTGGGCAGTGGGTGTTCCCAGCAGCCTCTTCCGCCACTCTGCAAAAGAGCTAGGAAGGCAGGACCCAAGGACACCTCAAGGAAGCTCTAGGAGAAAGGCAAAGTCTGGTGCGGCCCCCGGCTGAAAGTGACTGCTGTGGCTGAGGGCTGGTTACAAAAGCTCACCTGTACCGGGACCTCCCTCTTCTCACAGGTTTCAAAGCCCAGGGCCTGGGACACACCATCCAGGGCAGCAGCGGCAGTGGCAGACACCCAGGGCTGCTGAGTACCAAGGCCACCCTTGATCCCTGCACACTGTATTTCCCCTGGGGAAGGAAAATCAGAGCTGGGCTGAGCTGGGGCCCAGCTGGGTGTTGGGATCCGGCTGGGCCAAGTAGAGCCCTCGCTACCTTTCTCCCCAGGCTGTCCCAAGCATCCACCGGCTGTGCAGATGCCCGCAGGGTCCCAGACACCAGGAAGGCCATGAGAACCAGGTGGGGCTTCCTCCAAGCCCAGAGCTTCTTGCCTGGCTCTGGTTCCCAGGACCTTGAGGCCTGAGCCTTGCCCTCTCCTATCAACTGCTTATGACCCCATCTCGACTCTGCCCTTAGAACACTAGGCTCTGCTTCCCCGGCCCAGCCCCCTTCCCTGGCTCTGGCAACTACTTCACAGCCGGCAGTCGTACATCCCCACCTGAGCCACGGCCTGAGCTCAATTCCATTCTTAGCCCTTGGCCCATGCTCCCATCAGATTTTGTTACACCTGAGCGTCTTCCTCAGGAGGCAGCTGCCAGCACTAAAAAAGCTCTCGTGCTGTCCCCAGCATCCTTTTCACCCTTTCCTCTTTCACGTGCCTGTGCACAAAGCCTGGGACACAACAGTGCAGAGCTCACAAGGCAGGAATAGCTAGCTGACTGGGACCTGCTTGATCAACTGTATGACCTTGGGTGCTTCCTGTGGAAAATGGGGATAGTTGAGACCACAAGAGAGGTGTGCTAACCTGGGGCCTGGCCGAGGAAGACACCTGGGGACAAGGCTGGCCCAAATGGATCAGTTAATAAGGGACAGGGACATCTTGTCTCTCTCCATCCTCAGGTGAGCCCCAAGGTTGCCCAAATGAACCAAGAGGATCAGCAAGAGTCAGAGAAGCACGGCCACTGTGGCGCAGGCGCCAGCCTGTGCCAGGACAGGGGAGGTGGGATGTTGGGGGCTGGCTGGGAACCACAGGTGGACTCATTTTGGCTGACCAGCCTTTCCGACAGCTTCATGCACACACAGGGCAATGCTGAGATCTGCACCCCACCAGGCAGGCCTGTCCCCTCATTCCATCAGGCAGTCTTACTTTAGCCTCTTGCTCATTTCACCACTGAGAGAGGAGGAGGACCTGACAAAGACTCCAAGTCATGTCTTGCTCCCCATCTTCCAAACCACAGCTGCATGACTGACCCAGGAGAGTGAGACCTATGGACTGCAGGTCCAGAATGCACCTCCCCTGGTGACTGCATACGTCATGAACCATCAGTGTGACCTAGCCAAAAGGGGAAGAGATACCTTCCATCCCTTAGAAAAGCCACTAGAGAATGACAGCCTAAAGGAAACACTCCATGTTTATTCAAACTCTTCTGAAGCCACTGAGCTGAGCCCTTCTGGAGGGTCCACGGTCATCCCTGTTCATGTGGCTCTGCACACAGCACAGATTGAGAACATGGGGATAAACGCTCGGGGGCAGCTACAAAGTGCCGCTGGAGTGCTAGTATTAAGTACAGAGCCCTACCCCGAAGGAGCGCGTGCTGCCCAGGCAGCCCTCAGCCACAGCCACCACCTCCACCACCCTCCAGGCCTGCAAGTGTGTGTCTGGGGGTCAGAGCCGGACAACTAGGCAGCTAGCTCCCTGGGGTCAGGGCATGTCAGAGTGGTCATGGGTTGGAGGGGTGGGGCAGTGATGGCCAGGACGCTGCTGTGATGGAACCAGGACCTAGATCCCCACTGGTGCGGGCCATGGTCCTTCCCAAGGCCGAAACCCAGCAGGCCTGAGGATGGAGGCCAGTTCTCACTAGAAGGCACAGGCAGACAGGGCAGAGGGCTTGGCCGGACTGATGGACCCACATGAGGCAGTAGGAAACAGAGCAGCTGGCAGAGCACGGCTGGAGGGTCCTGGGGAGGAACTCTAGGTCCTGCAGAGGCATCACACCACCTGATCCTCAACTGCAAACTGTGACGCTCCAGAAATCAAATGGAAGAGAAGTCCAGAGCAGGAAGGGGAGAGACAAGGCGGCAGGCAGGACGCTGGGCGCAGGCAGTGCAGAGTCGAGGGGCCTTGGGTCCCTTCCACAGGCTGGCAGTGGCCCCCGGGGAGCCGAGACTTCCCGGAGGGAAGGAAGGGGTTCCATGAGAGCTACAGGAAGCACCCGCTTCCCTGGGGGCTCACCCCACGGGTTGAGCCATCTTGGCGTGCAGGCTCTGGTGCGCGATGAGGTGTGCACGCTGCTTGAAGCTCTTGTCACACTCTCCGCAGCCGAAGGGCCGCTCGCCCGTGTGCACGCGCTGGTGGTCCAGCAGGTAGGCACGCAGCGAGAAGCTCTTGCCGCACTCGCCGCAGCCAAAGGGCTTCTCGCCCGTGTGGATGCGCTGGTGGTCGGCCAGGTAGGCGCTGCGGCTGAAGCTCTTGCCGCACTCGGAACAGGAGAAGGGCTTCTCGCCCGTGTGCACGCCCTGGTGGCGCGCCAGGTCGGAAGAGCTGCGGAAGCTCTTGTCACATTCGGGGCACTTGTGTGGCTTCTCGCCGGTGTGCGTGCGCTGGTGCCGGGCTAAGTCCGAGCCCCAGCGGAAGCGCTTTCCGCACTGCCCACAGCTGTGCGGCTTCTCCGTCGCCAGGTCCCGACACGGGCGCCTGCGAGTGGGCGGCCGTCCCCGCCGAGCCACCACCAGCCGGCCCAGCGCCGCCCTCCGCGGGTTCTCACTGTCCCAGACCTCCGTCTCGGCCTCCTCAGGTTTCCAGGACAGGGTCCTCTCACAGCTGGTATGTCCCAACAGCGCTGTCACCGGCCCCGCTGCAGGAGCGCTCTCCACCTGGCTTTTGGGTCCCAAACCTGCAAGAAGGGGAGAAGCCTCCTTTAGTCCCCTTGATTCTGGCCCGGGAGGAGATTTGGAGAAAGGCACTCATGGAAACCTCCTTGGCTTTGAGGTTCAGGCTGCTGTGGCTCGGACAGATCAAGTCTAAGTCTTCTCATCTACAAAGTGACTGGATGACAGGCGAGCAATGTCAGTGGGTAAAGCCACTTGCCCCCAACCCTAATAACCAAAACTGAGTCTGCCCCCTCCGCCTCAACATGCACGGTGGAAGGAAAAACCAACTCCAGGCCTGGAGAGATGGTTAAGGGCACTGGCTGCTCTTCCAGAGGTCCTGAGTTCAATTCCCAGCAACCACACGGTGGCTCACAACCATCTATAATGGGATCTGGTGCCCTCTTCTAATATGCAGGTTATATGCAGACAGAACATTGTATACATAATTAATAAATATTTCTTTTTTAAAAATTATTTTAAAAAAAACAACTCCAGAGAGCTGGTCTTCTACACATGCCCCTGTCTGCATTGCACACAAAAGAAAAATATTAAAATGCAAATTTATTCTAAAAGAAAGTGGGAAGATGATAAAAGGCCAGCAAATGAGCAATAGTTTGAGCTGGCCTCAGGGAGACCAACCGAGCTCATCTTTCTGCAGAGGCACTTGCTATCATGAAGACCTGTTCCCCAGCCTGTGCCAATGCCCCCTCTCCACCACCAAAGTCAACGGCCCCTCCTAGGCCACTGAGCACAGGGGGCCTAACCTTGTGACCTGAAGGCACCACTGTGTGCAGCTACTGTGGTCCCTCATTCCTTAAACTCCAGCTCTGCAGACCAAACACAGTGGTGTGGGCAGGGAGGAACTCTAAGCCCACCCACCGAGTGCTGCCAGCTAAGAAAGATGAAAGCAGGGCCTCATCTATGCCAAGAAAGGGCCTGACCTGGTGTGGCTTCAAATAGGAGGGTGCAACTACGGCTCTTGTTTTTGACCATTTCTGCGGCTGATGTGGTCCATCAACCCCAGTGAATCTGAGAATTTTGTCTGGGGCAGATGCTCCTAAGCATCGGATTGAGAATTGACTGAGAAAATGCCCTTTCAAGCCCTTGGCATAGAGCTACAGAGCTGGCACACAGAGCAAGCGTACTGGTCAGCTGGTCACATGACTCACAGCGACCCGGAAACCTGAACATCACAGGGTGCTGCTGAGGAGACTCAGGGAAAGCCTGAAAGAAAAATCAGAATTACAGCAGAACAGGGGCCAACAGATCTGCTTACCGAGGGCAGCATTCCGGGAGTTCTCTCTCTTTATGTCCCAGAAGAGGTCCCGCTGAGCAGGGTCCAGGGAGCCCCATTCTTCTCGGGAGAAATAGAAAGGGATGTCTCCCAGTGCTGAGGGTTTTTGGAATGAGGAGAGATGAGCCAGCTCGGGTCTCCCAGGCAGCTGTGAGTGGGGACAGGAAGGGTCAAAGTATACATTCAATTGCACCAAGCCCTCCTCGAGGACAAAGGGACCGCCAACTCACATCAACTGCAGGGGCGGAGCAGACATCCAGCATCTCTCCTGTGCGCCCCTCTTTAAGAGTGGGAAGCCGGGCTGAAGGAGAAGAACAGAGCTTCACAGAGGCCAGGGTCAAGGACTGGGATGCACGGCCCCCTCTGCACTTGCAACATGTACCCATGCCAAATGCATGCACACCTGCTCATGAGCACGGGCCTCCCGGGGCCTTCACCCTCAGGCAGTCCTGGAGAACTGCAGCCCCTGTGAAGCCGCACTGCTGACTGGAGTCTTACTCACCGCGGCCGCGCTGCTCCCAGGGTGAAGGGAGCCGCTGCACTCCTGCCTTCTGCGGAGGCCCTGTGGCTTGGAGTCCCTGGACCGCTGCCTTCGGCCCCACCTCCGAGGGCTCATCCTGGGCAGGAACCATAACATGCCTATCAGCACAAAGGCCAGGCTGGAGGAGGGGGGCGGCACAGCTTAATCCTTTAGAAGGCTGAGGTAGGGAAAAGGGATTAAATGGAGGCCCAGAAAAGAATGAGACACCAGGAAGTGTTCTCCCGGGAACAGGGTTCCCTTAGGTGGCTCTACTTTCTCATGCCCCTCTGCCGCTCATTACTGTGCCCTGTATGATGACTACAGCAATAATAGTTGTGTGGAGGTAAACCGTTTCTGGGCTCGCCAGGGAGGCAGAGGCAGGTGGATCTCTGTGAGTTCAAGGCCAGTCTGGTCTACAGAGCCAGTTCCAGGACAGCCAGGGCTACATTCAGAAACCCTGTCTTAAGAAACCAAAACCAAACCAAACCAAACCAAACCAAACCAAACCAAAACAGACAAAAAAACAATACAACCTTTCTGCACCATAACTACTTTAAATCCAATGAAGTCATGAAAAACTGACTACATTTACTTAAGACTCATGCTACACTGGGATGGTGTGTGTTTCCCCTGCTGGCCGAGCCTCCAGAGGCTCATCTTCATGAAGATGGCCTCTACTCTTCCGGCTCTTAGCCGGAGAAGGGACGGCTCCCTCACCTGTGGCCAGGCTTTCAGTGACTGGTTCTGTATGTCCTCCACCAAAGCGACAGCTTCCTCGCCGCTCCCGAGGTGCTGGGTCTGCACCCGGGCTTGGATCTCCCCTGGCAGCACGGCCAGGAACTGCTCCAGCACCAGCAGTTCCAGGATCTGCTCCTTGCTGTGCAGCTCGGGCCGCAGCCAGCGGCGGCACAGCTCCCAGAGCTGGCTGAAGGCTTCCTGTGGTCCGCCCACATCGCTGTAGCAGAACTGACGGAAGCGCTGGCGGCAGGCTTCTGAGTCCCTGCTGTCCACCTGCTGGGCAGGCTCCTGTTCCCATGAGCAGTCCTCCACCTTCACAATCAGAAGTCCTTCATCCTCCTCCCCAGGAGCATGGCCATGGAGCTCCTGGGGAGAGGCCATTCCCCTGGCCCAAGGCTCAGGGCTGGTCAGCCTTAGCTCGGGGCTCCAGAGCTGACCCCTCAGGCTCCCAGAGGCATCCTCTGTGACAGCTGGGCTGGCATCTGGACACAAACACCTATGGAAAGACCAAAAGAACAGTATTTGGGGAAGAGTGGAATACACTGGTCTGGAGGAAAGGCTAGGAACTCTGGCACCTACTCTATGCCTCTGAAGCCTCCTCAGGCTTTACCGCAATGGTGTGCTCTGTGTAACTGTGTAACTGGTCATACACACCCACCATCCTTTATCGCCACATCTGACTTCCTGAATCTGGGTTTTTCATGGTCCATTTGACAGCAAAACCTCTGCCTCATTTGGAAGCACCACTGCATCTACTGAAATGAGCACATTTTTATCCTCATGCACAGCACTTTCTAAGCTGAACAGCAGAAACAGTCTGTACAGGCCCCCTGGGCAGCCGTGAGTGTAGCTCAGTTGCTGGCCTAGCATAAATGACCTCTAGCACTAGCTTAAACTGGGTGGGGTGGCACATATTTGTAATCCCAGCACTCAGAGGTTGACGGAAGAAGAATTAGAAATTCAAGGTCATCTTCAGCTACATGGAAAGTCTGAAGCCAGTCTAGGATAACCCTGGTGTGTGTGTGTGTGTGTGTGTGTGTGTGTGAATCACTGACTCCCTCAGGCTACAGTTCTGCGGATGATGCACAGAATTCTGTGTAGCTGAAACACTGAGACACATTCAAGAAAACAACCGCATCTAGAGAAAACATTTTAAACCATTGTCTTACTCTGTTTTTCCAAGACAGGATTGCTTTGTGAAGCCCTGGCTGTGCTGGAACTCATTCTGTAGACCAGGCTGGCCTGAACTCAGAGATCCTCTTGCCTCTGCCTCCTAAATGCTGGGGGGCATGTGCCACCAATGATCAGCTATTCTTTTTGTTTGTTTGTTCTTGTTTTCTAGACAGGGTTTCTCTGTGTAGCCTTGCTTTTGGACTTGCTTTGTAGGCCAGGCTGGCCTCGAACTCACAGAGACCTGCCTGCCTCTGCCTTCTGAGTGCTGGGATCACAGGCGTGCGCCAGCCACCACGCCTGGCTAGTCAGCTACTCTTCAGGCCTGTTTTCCAGTATGTATGCTGGAGATTTTCACAGGGTAGAGTGGTATAGGCTTGGCAGTGCACGTCTGTAACTCCAGATCTGCAGGGACCAAGGCGGGCCTGCCCAGAGTTGATCAGTCTGGGCTATGGAGCAGAACTGTCTCCAAAAATATATATAATTATTGTGTATAATTAAAAATGTTGTCTCAAGTCCCTCTACTGTCATTTTTCTCAAATTTAAAACTTACAAATTTATGGGGCTGGAGAAATGGCTCCGTGGTTAAGAGTATGCATTTCTCTTGCAGAGGCGCCAGATTCAATTTCCAGCATCCCCACGGAGGCTCACAACCATCTCTAATTCCAGTTCCAGGGTATCCAATGGCCTCTACTGGCCTTCCTGAACACTGCATACACTTACACACACAAAGGCAAATACTCAAAACACACAAAATAAAAATCTTTGTTAAAAAAAAAAAGCTTGCAAATTCCAGATAACCTCTTACTCCAGGCATTAGAGGCCTTATGGACACCATTCTATGCATTTATTCACAACTATATTGAGTGTATGGCATGTATTTGTATTTTATGCTGTTACTACCTCACAATATTCTCCTGGGATTTGAAATTTTCTCCTTTTTTGTTTCAACGGTCCAATTAGCATGAACATAACCTTTAAAACGGGAGGGAAATGTTAATATAGTGTTTCTTTTGATTCACTGATAATCTAATGCATGAAGGTGTCATAATTTTTCCTGTGTTTTTACTGAAAATTGTTATCTTCAGAATCGACAAGTGCTTGATGTGTGCTTTACATAAATGAGATCTTACAAGCCAACGCTTTGGATTCTGCGTTTTTTGTTTTTTTTTTTTTTTTTGTTTTTTTTCACCTAGCAACGTTTCTTCATTAGTAAACCCATAAGCTTCCGCGGCATGGGGGTACTCCAGCTTCTCAACCAACCCGAGCGACGCATTCGGACGGTTGCCAACGCTTCTCCACTACCACAAGCACTTTATTGAGGCTTCTCTTCACGAGCCATCTGCCTCATCCTCCAGTGACCGCGGAGGTGTCCTCAGGGAGGGCCCGGACTCACCAGGGTCGCTCGGCAGGACGTGGGAAAGGGGACGGTCCCCCGCAGCCTGGCGAGGGCGGCAGGCTCGGCGCCGCTGCCCGGGGACCCGGAGAGCCCGAAGCCGCCGGCGGGCCCCGCCTAGAGGAGCGGACCGTCCGGCCCGCGCCGCGGGCGCCGAGTCCGCAGGAGCCCAGCTGCGCGGAGCGCCGGTCCCGCCCCCAGGACGCACAGCCCAGGGCCGCCCAGAGCCTCCCCACCAGCTCCCGGCGCCGGAAGTTCGCGCGGGGGTCGCTGGGAAAACTGCTGGCGCATGCGCGGGGCAAGCGCACGGACATTTTACTCTCCCGAGCGCCGTCTGTCCGGGAGGGATAGCCAATAAACACGGAGAACCCCCACGGCTGGCCAATCTGGGAAACCCTCCCGCTGGAGATCTGGGGAAAGTCTCATTTTCGCCTTCTGGGTCGCGCTTCGCCCAAGGCAGGTCCTGGGAAGATCTCGGAGCTTCCTGAAAAATGAAAAATTCAGTCTTATTAGAGCGGAGTCTCCGCTCCGGGCGCTGTCTCCTGCCCTCCTGCCGGCAGCTCCACCTCTAGCGAGCTGCAGAGCAGGAGTCCTGATGCCTGGAGGCAAGGAGCGGAGACCCTCCTCTGCCTGTTAAACATCGTTGCCATCTGTTAGAGTCACCGTTGGTGTTAATGGTAAATTAACTCTACTTTGTAGACATCCTTAGTAAGTGTTGCAGCTCAGAAGGGGGAAGTAAGGTTCCCGGCAAATCGGGAACCAAGGAATACTTGAAAGTCACACCGCCCTACGAACCTCACACGGGAGAGTAATTGGGAGGGGGAAACCTAGGAGGAAGGCCGCCTCTGCTCCAGTGAGGAACAGCAGAGCTTGTCAGGGCGGAGACTTCCAGGGTGAGGATTGATAGGATTTCTAGGGGGCTCGGGGATTGGTGGGATTCCCCTTCCTTCCTTCCTTCCTTCCTTCCTTCCTTCCTTCCTTCCTTCCTTCCTTCCTTCCTTCCTTCCTTCCTCCCTCCCTCCCTCCCTCCCTCCCTCCCTTCCTTCCTTCCTCTCTCTCTCTTCTTTTTCTCTCTCGCTTTCTCTCTTTCTCCCTCTTTTTCTTTCTTCCTCTTAGGGAGGTCTGGGGGCGGGGCCTGGCAATTTGCCTGCCTTGAAGGTTTACAAAGTTTACAAAAGGAGTAAAGGCTGTGAATAGCCAACATCCTTAAAGCTTATTTTTCTATAAACAGACAAAAACCAGAATGGGGCAATTTGACTCCGTATGGCAACTGTTGGACCCTCCCCTTGCTGCCCCTGTCACCTCGAGCGAAGTGACTGTTAGCGAAACAGCCGGCCGGGCTGACCTCATGTCAGCGTTAGTTCTCTTAAACACTCAGTGGATACCTCAAGAAAACTACAGCTCGATCGAAGCTGATTGTCCCTGCACCTGAGGGACAGCCTCAGCTAGGGCTGTTTTGAGACAGGTGTCAGTTCCTGCCGTGACAAGCCTCTGGGTTCTAGACACTCTGCAGCGGTGTCCACCTAGGCTACAGAGACCATTGCTAAATGGCGAGGCTGTGATTGTCCAAACACTCCTCCCGAGGGTAGACTAGCAGGCTCATCCACCCGGCTCAGCAGGCTGGGAAATACGTGTGTTGCCTCTCCTGGTGTCGTTTTATTAGTCTCAGTGAAACTCTTGAGTGGTCTTGCCTACTTGGAGTAGTGAAGGCTGAGCTGGTAACACACAATGGCAAAAACTGTAACTCTGTGCAAAAGAACATTAAGAAAGATTGGAGTAGATTCATTGGCACAAGCCTGTAATCCTAGCACTCAGGAGGCTGAGGTAGGACGATACTCAAGAGTTTCAGTGTAAGTTATGTGGTGACTATCAGGCTAGTTCTGGCTACACAGTGAGTCTTTACCCAAACAAAGTAAGACTGGGTGCCTGGTATGGCCTATAGAGGAATTTTAATTCAGATCATGGTTCTGTTTGTAGCCCAACCGAATCACACAGACATAGACGGTCTTTGGGTGTGATCTCTTGCCAGAGCAGCCCCTGGTTGTATCATTAAGCGGCCATGTCATAAATTCAGGAGGGTTCACCCATTGAACAACCTGGTTTCAGGACACAGAGACACATAAAGACAATTTCACTCTTGGACTCAAAAAAATAAAAATAAGAATGCTGTTTACAAAGCGTTTTGTGGAAGTGCCTCACAAGAACTCTTTCCAGTAATAATCTTACTCAGAAACAGCTGGATGTCAGCTAAACCCACAGTTACATCTATTGGATACAGAAACAGAAAAGCCATCCTACTGGCCTGAGCCCATGGATGGGGCAGCACCAGTTACCCAGTATCCACGGCTTCCATGGCTCATACATGCAGTCTTGAGCAAGGAACCTCAAGTTACAAGGTCTTCTTACACTTTTTTTTCTTTCCTACACTTTTAAGGTGGAGAAAAGCAAATACAACAAGCCCACACACACTAAGCATGCTCTCGGTGACTACCCTCGCTTCAGCTGTTTTATGTATAGTTTTTACTCAGAGCCAGACACATAGACAATAGTATGATGCTGTCTATACTGAAGAAAATCATGGCAGAGAGGTAAAGTGTGGGACCCAAGACTGTTGGGGCTGGCAGGCCACCCTGCTGTCTCTGTCTTAGTGGTGAGAAACACATACATTTTACTGCCTTGAGCTTCTTTAATGTGCATGTGATTGTGTGAGTGTGCGGCTTGTGTGTGGGCATCCTCGAAGCCAGAGGGGGCTGTGCGATCCCCTGGACTGGAGTCACAGGTGGTTGTGAGCTGCCAGATGTGGGTGCCTGGAACTAAACTTCTAACAAGACTGGGTCTTCTAACAAGACTAGCAAGTTCTCTTCACTGCTGAACCATCTCTCCTCCACCTTGACCGTCTTTGAATGAATAGCTCACTAAAATGAAATGTGTTGGCCCCAAGATATGGTAGCACACACCTTTAATCCCAGCACTTGGGAGGCAGAGGCAGAACGATTCCTGAGTTCGAGACCAGCCTGGTCTACAGAATGAGTTCCAGGACAGCCATGGCTACACAGTGAACCGTGTCTCAATCAATCAATCAATCAATCAATCAATCAATCAATCAATCAATCAGTCTTTGCATTGGTGTGAGGCTATTACCATAGCTACCATCTCCAGAACACTTTTTCAACTTGGCAAATCTCAACTATTCTCATTAAACACTGTCTTGGTTCGTGGTTAAGTTTTCTGTGATAGAACGCTATGACCATAAACAATTTTGGGAGGAAAGAGTTTATTTCAGCTTAGAACTCTCAGGTCACGTTTCATTGCTGAGGGAAGTCGGAGCAGGGCTCTATAACAGTGCGGGAAGCTGGAGGCAAGAGCTGATGCAGAGGCCGTGGAGGGTGCTGCTTCCTGATTTGCTCCACATGGCTTGCTCAGCCTGCTTTCTGGTAACACACATGACCACCAGCCGAGGGGTGGTGCCATCCACAGTGAGCTGTGCCCTTCCATATCAAATATCAGTCCAAAAAGTGTGTCACAGGCTTGCCCACAGGCCAGTCTGGTGGGGGACATTTTCTCGGTTCAGCTTCACATTTCCAAAATAACTCAAGTTTGTGTCAGGTTGACATAGAATTAACCATGGTCAAATACCAGTCTCCATGAGCCTTCCCTAACCCTCCAACAACCACCATACTTTTTGAGATTGGTTGGAATTTTTGTTTGTTTTTGTGTTTAAAGATTTATTGATATCAATGTATGTCTGCTATATTGTATGTGATGCCCAGGAAGCAATGAATCCCTGATGCTAGAGTTATGGGGATTGTCAGCTGCCCAGCATGGATGCTGGGAACCGGACTTGGGTCCTCTGGAAGAACTCATAACTGATTAGCCAGTTCTCCAGCCCCGGATGCTTGGTGAGAATCTTTGGCAGGATCTCATGTAGCCCAGGCTGGCCTAACATTTGTTACATAACCAAGTGTCTTGGTCACTTATCTATTGCTATGACAAAACATCATGGCAACTTATAAAGGAAAGCATTTAAGTTGAGGGCTCACAGTTCCAGAGGGTTAGAATCCGTGGCCATCATGGCAGGGAACACGGCAACAGACAGGCAGGCATGGTGTTGGAGCAGTAGGTTAGAGCTCACATTCTGGTCCAGCAGGAGGAGACGGAGAGAAGAGGGGGCAGCCAGCCGGGAATGGTGTAGCTTTTCAAACCTCAAAGGTCCTCTGGAAGGACTCTCAGCCAATGAGCCCTTTCCTCAGCCCCAGTTGGAGCCTCAAAAGCTAGTTTTGGGGGTTTTGGTGGAGTATTTGTTTGTTGTTCGTATTTTATATTTTATGTCTATTTGGGAAATGTGCATGGTGAGCAGAGAACAATCCTTTGAGAGGTCAGTTCTCCATGTTCATTACGTGGGTTCTGGGGATAGAACTCAGGTCCTTAGGCTTGACAGCAAGTGTCCTTACCTGCTAAGCTCCCTCGCCAGCCCATCTCTTGAATTTTTTCCTTTGAGTTGGTAATTTATTGCAAGCTCCCAAATGTAAAGTGCTTACAGTGACATCTTCTGTTTACTCTCCCCTTGCCTGTTTCGCCTTTCTAGAAACAAACAGCACCACCCACTGCAGAGACATGCTACATACCACAAAAATGTTTAAGTGGATCCTTTTTTGCTCTGTCCTGTGACTTTCAGGATTTGTTTTTTTTAAATTACTGTGTGTGTGTGTTATACATATATGAGTACAGGCATACCCGTGCCAAAATAAATAAATAAAGTCAAGTAAGGTTAGAACTGAAAATGCCCCTTGTTGTCCATCAGGATGGGAACAGACCCAGCAAGGTTTGAAGGACCTGGGCATTCTCGTGTGTGCTGTGGAGAAGTCCTCTATTCATTCATGTCCTCCAAGCCTGGCCACAGCGATGCTTGAGATCCATATGACTTGTCTGACTTGAAGTTTAGCCACCTTCCTCGGGGGGCTCAGGTCCCTGAGTCCTTGTCACTGTCATTTGTGTGGAGCTGCAGCCCTCTGGCTCTCCATTAGCAGTTGAGTCTACAGTTGCTTCCTATGATCCGAACCGCCCAATATCAGCTTGAAAGGAGATACAGGTACCCAGGTTTCCACACCCTCTGCCTTCGCTTCTCCTCGCTGATTCCAGGAAGGACTTCCAGATGGCTCCCACTCCTACCACACCCATCACCAGCTAATGACTCATTGTGTGAGCTCAG